GAGGGGAGGGGAGGGCGCTTACGGGAACCAGAGCGGGAAGACGTTGACGAATCGCGACCAGAAGGGCTGGAGGATGTACTTGGCGACGATGGAGTGGTCGACGCCGCTGTACTTGTACTTGCGCAGCGTCGCCACGCCGTGGCTCCCGACGTACCCCATCTCGCCCCAAGCCCGAATCCCCGGCCGGCGGAGGGAGGGAGGGAGCGAATAGGGGGGAGGAGGAGGCGGCCGCGGGCGCGCGCGCGTGGGCGAATGGGGGCGGCGCGACGGGTGGAGGAATTTATGCGGGGATCTGTCCCGTTGTGGCTGGCAATGGTGGTGGCCGCCGGTTGGGTGAGTGGTGGTGATATGAGGCGGAGGGAGGAGGGAAGAGAGAGGGAAGGCCTGGCCGTTTCACGATTCGCCCCCCTGCAGGGCATAGTTTTATGAATACTAGCAAGATGCTCATACGTTGCACGGAACATCAAGATGCATTTGTATGAAAAGTTTATCTTGTGAGAGAAAAGGATGAACGAGGGAATGCCTTATTTGTAAATGCGAAAAGGGGTGTGGGTATCTTTTTGCAAAATTGCCATAGTTTCCTTCCTGTTCGTCGGATATAAATCGAATGGCCTATATTGAAGGATGGCAGGAACACCATCATCACCAACTCTGTTTTTTTATAAGAGTATGGATATAAGCACCCCTACCGCCGTCTAGGTCAACACACAACTGGGAGGAGCCATCTGTGGCTCATATTGCTTCCCTTTTCTTTGACAATATGGTGACATAAATTATTGCGTGCGGGCGATGTGGTAACGTACATTTATGCAATGACGAGTGGTCGACCCAAAAACAGATTGACAAGGGGCCTTCATAAACGTTGTTATCACGAACTTGGATTACGAGGAACATGCATGGATAAATGTATAAAATGGCTAGCTAAGGGAACATTTTGTCCCGTGCACTCCCTAAGCTATGTGTAAGTATATACCCCTTACAACGATTATAGCCGAATGCATCGGAAGGACGCGGAAAAACTATCTCTTAGCATAAAAAATTCAAGTGAAAAGCCACATGCAACTTTGTTACTTTTCGGTTTGCGTCCTCGTGCCTGACCATTCTCGTTCAATTTGGCGTTTTCTGTCAGGCAGTTTATTCTTATTTCCTCGTTTAGCATTGTTGGTATGTTGTGGATTCGGTGCTTCACGAAGCAAATAGAAATTCCTTTTGCGGCTTGCCTCTTGCCGACAAAACGACAAATTAGGTCATAATGAGCAAAGAAAGCGTCGTGAATATAATCCTTAAAGCTTGTCGACCGGTACAAGCACAAGCTTAATGAAAAGGGATATGCGTGCCTCCACATAACAAACACTCACACAAGTGACACAGAGTAGTATTTACATGAAACGTTTCTATCAACATTAAAAGTAGGGAACTTGAGATGTGACCACACGCATACGTGTCGTATGGTCTTCGTACCCTGTTGTTGTACAACATAGGCTTGATTTCATGAATTGCAAAAATGTGGAGGGGAGGATGGCATGAAAAAACCTCTCACAATCATGATATTATGACTAGATATCTTTTTATTAGGTTATTAGATGATGTCGCCATACAAGTAACAATCACCTGTTCTCCTATCGTTGGAAACCGCTTTGGTCATAAGTCGTAATGGCACATGAGCATTGTCACATGCCTCTCTTAAATCTGGTTCATTTTTTAACTCAATAGAAGGACATGAAGAAAAAGCTCTCAAACGTCGAAATTTAGGCAAGAGTCGAATGCAAACTCATTTGCCCGTCGGTTTGTATGCGAGCCATTGCAATCATGATTTCTAGTGGACAGAAGAATATGTCGCTCTACGTAACAGCAAATCCATCATACATCCAACAAAACTTTATGTGCAGCATTGCTATCAATACCAAAAGTATAGCAACAAAGAGACGTGACCATACATACACACTCGACGCCCATTCCTAGGTGTCGGACGGTACAACCTAGGCCCGATTTCACGAATTGCGAAAAGGTGGAGGGGCAGGCTGGCAAAGACCACGACAGAATTTCCCGTGTCCCTGTCTTCGTGTCCTGTGCGTTTACCGCCCGTCAACGTCGAGCACGTGAGAGAAAATCCAGCCCAACAACAAGCCCACGAAGCCCATGAAATCTTCTTACATTGGGCTGAGATCCGGGCTCCCGCGTGCCAAAGCCCACCCGGCACCCCACAGTCGTATTCTCATCCCCATTCCTCGCCGCTCTCCCGCGCCTCCGCCGCCGCCGCCAAGGATGGGGAGGGTGCCGGCGCAAGCCATGCGCGCCGCCAAGGTCCCCCGCCACGCCCTCGTCCCGAAGCCCTCCGCGGCGTCCACCCCGCCGCCCCCTCCCCCGCCACCACAGGGGCCTCGTCCCGCCGACGGTAAACCTCCCCACGGCAAGCCGCCCCGGAGAACCCCCAGGGGCCCCTCCGAGCACGCGGGGGCCCTGGCCCTGCCGGACCGGCCAGCGCCGCCGGCCGAGAAGAGGCCCATCACCACGCCCGCGGAGCTCTCGGCGGCCATCCGCGCCGCGGTGGACGCCGACGTGGACGCGGCCGCCTCGCTCGCGCTCAAGGCCGCGCCCACCATCCCGCTCCCTGCGCAGTCGCTCGCCCTCATCCTCCGCCGCCTCGCCGCGCATCGCTCCGTCGCCGCGGCGCGGGACCTCCTCGCGGCGCTCCCGTACTCCGCCGACAACCCCGCGCCGCGCCCGGCGCTGCTGGCCCTCGCTGACGCCTGCTGCCGCCGCGGCGACCCGCGCGAGATCGGGCAGCTCCTCCCGGTGCTCGCCGACCACGGCGTCCGCGCCGACGCCCACGTCTACAACGCCCTCATGAAGGGGCACTGCGCCGACTCCGACACCGCGGGGCTCCTTGGCGTGCTCCGCCGGATGAAGGACGACGGCGTGGACCCCGACCTCGTCACCTACAACACCCTCGTCTACGGCCTCGCGCGCGCCGGGCTCGTCGCCAAGGCCAGGACCTACCTGGACGCCATGGCTGCCCAGGGCCTCTTCCCGGACGTCATCACCTACACCTCGCTCATGAACGGGATGTGCGTCAAGGGCGACGCCCTTGGCGCGCTCAAGCTGCTTGAGGAAATGCAGGCCAATGGGTGCGAGCCCAATGACCGGACGTACAACACGCTGCTCATGGGGCTCTGCAGGAACAGGAAGCTGGACAAGGCCTTCGAGGTGTACAAGTCCATTGTAGGGGCTGGGATGAAGCTCGAGCCGCCGGCGTACGCGACGTTCATCAGGGCATTGTGTCGGGCGGGGAGGGTTCCAGATGCATATGAGGTTTTTGATTACGGGATCGAGAGCAAGAGCTTTGCACAGGCGACCGCGTACAGTGAGCTCGAGAGCTCGCTCAAGTGGCTCCGCAAGATGAAGGAGTAGGATGAAGGCGCGAGGAAGGCTAATAAGGCACCTGATTCAGTGAGTTGCATTGCCTGGCTTGTTTTGATGCAGTAGATTAAGCAAAAACATTTGGAACTACTACTGTGTTTGTATGGAGTGATACTGTCTGTTCAATCAATCAGAATGTAAGATGAAATTTCCGAAAACGTGAATATGTCAAGGTATCTTACTCGTGTGTCAAACTTTGGTAGCATGATGTATTCACAATATACGTGAGAAAATGCTTATAATCTGTTTGTTCAACTAGATGAATTAGCTTGTACTCCCTCCATTCCAAAATATAGTGCGCCCGCGCTTCCCGAGGTCCAACTTTGACCATAAATTTAACCAACGAGACCAACTGCGGCGAGAGAAAAAATTATATAATTGAAAACTTCTTTCGAATACGAATTCATTATATAATTTTTGCTCCCGCCGCAATCGGTCTTGGTAGTTAAATTCACGGTCAAAGTTGAAGCACGAGGATAGAGGAAGCACTACATTGTGGAATGGAGGGAGTATATTGGATGTACATGGAGCATAATGTTGGTAGCCTGTAGAGACGGGTTTCTTCTAAGTGCTGATATAGAAACTGATTTTTAATCTCCCAATGAGCATGCCCAATGGTGTATTTCTAGGTACAAAACTGAATATGATTCTCCTGCAAATTTACAAGAGTTGGACTGGTGGAGTCTCTACCTGATTGATTGATATCCAGGGTTTCTTGCCTTCCCCTCCTAACAATATAGATGTGGTTACTTTCACCATGACTTTAACTATGAATGATCTTGTCAGAAAGACCCCTAAGAAACAATCATCCCGGTAGAATTTATTTTGTCTAGTTCCCTTTTGGCTATTTTCATGATTAGCTGAAATGGTATTACTAGCATCTTTCCATCCCATTGGTTAAAAGTTGAAAATAATACAGTGTTTCTTGTAATTTCCGAAAACGTGAATATGCACTGTGTCAAACTTTGGTAGCATGATGTAGTGCCATTCACAACATATGTGAGAAATTGCTTATAATCTGTCTGTTGAACTGGTTAAATTAGCTTGTATATTGAATGTACATGGAGCCTAATGTTGGTAGCCTAGAGACAGGTTTCTTTTAAGTGCTGATAAAGAAACAAACTGATTTTTAATCTCCCAAACAACATTTCCAATGGTATATTCCTAGGTACAAAACTGAATATGATTCTCCTGCACCTTCAGCAAATGTTCCAAGAGTTCGACTGCTGGAGTTAGTGTAGGATCCAGTGTTTCTTGCATTCACAACATATGTGGTTACTTCCACCATGACACTAACTATATTCTTCTCGGAAAGACCCCTAAGGCAGAGGTAGATTTTCTTTTATCTAGTTTCCCTTTTAGCTATTTTCATGATGACCTGAAATAGTACCAGCATCTTTCCATCCATTGGTTAAAAGTTGAAAACAATACAAATGTTTGTTGTAATTTAGAACCATGAAGTTGCTCTCGCACAGAGCTTAGCGCCTCTGCAACTACCTGCAGCTTTAGTTGTTCGCAGCACGACTGTTAGTTTTCTGCTAATAAGCGCGACCACACTATCTGTAGATGTAAATTGTAAGGCAACGGGAGAAGCGTGTTTTTGTGGAGCAAGTTCAAGCGCATCTTGAAGAAACAGTGACACATTCATCCTGCAGTGAGATGTTGCTTACCTATGACAACAAACCATGTGAACCATCCTTCCTTCTCCATGGTGCGTGAGTTCGACAGCTGGAACAAGT